TTTCCTTTTACATTTTTTTCTTTTCATGATGACAGTGGTAAGGCTCTGCCTCCCCTGCCTCCCCTGACTGCACGTCCCTGCTATAAAAACAGTAGTGTACCCAACCAATAAGGAAGCCAGCCAAAAAAAAAAAAAAAGATCTATCTATGTTCCAAGTTAAAGGGAAAACCTTCCAGGAATTTACACACACACATATATAAATATATAAATTTTATGTCCCTGGAAAAATTCTAATCCCACTATTTTGAATTCAAAATACTTCTAACTTGAAATATTCACATATCTTTAGTTTATATGGAGGCTTCTCATAATAAAATAAAAAAGGTTAAGCATGTTATGGATATTTACCAGCATTTATAGACCACTCAAAATTAACTGAAATCTCATATGAGAAATTATTTGGACAGTTGAAATACTAGCAGATTTGATGGCATATTTTATTTATGTATTGCTTCCATAGCTACGAAATTAGCTAAAATAATAACAATTCAATTAGCAAAGAACAAATACAAATATTCCTGATGCAATCTAAAATTAATTAAAGTTCAACAGATCTTCAGCAACAGATTGTTGTTGTTTCTTAGGAGAAGTATTGAAGTACCTGTTTGCCCTTCAGTTTCTGCCCGGCTGCTGAAGAGACCACCGCTGACAGTGAACATCTGTATTCTATATTTTTTGCCTGGTGTTAAATCTTCAAATTTATGTAGTTTAGCAGTGGCTGGTTCTGATTTGTTGTGGAGAAGGACACCGTGCTCAGTCAACAGGAGGATGTCATAACGTTCAGATACCCCAGGAGCACCATTCCATGTCACCATCAATGAATAACTGCTGTATTCATTGTCTGCATGCAATTGTTGAACAGGAGCAGGAACTAGAAATAATTGTTTAATGGTAATATTTCAAATGAGTAGTTTTTCCATACAGTTGAAAATTCCAAGTTCAATTTTTGGTAATTTTTGACTGTATTTACAATCATTGATGTTTGCTTTTGAACTGCTATTGAGTCGCCACAAAATGGCTCTTCAGGGGAGGTGAGAACAAAACAACAGAATGTAAAATGAAGAGAATTGGGTAAGTCATATCTGGTAAAACTCTTAGTTGTTGTCCTATGTTTTGGTGCCAAGAAAAACAACATCTCCCTGCAGCAGACATATTAATCAGAATTTCAACTACTTTTATGACAGCTGTTTTATATATTTATACCTTCCCTCTGCCCTATTCTTTTCTAGCTTCAAATATAAATGAGATTCTCTTTATGCAGATTTTTAAAAAGCCACTTATAATATTGATTATTGTGACTGAGCAACATTCTTTAATTATCTTGTCCGTTTTACTCAATTTTCAATTGTTACTTGACTTACTGCCACAGTTGAGACACGAATTTTGATCATTGAGCAAACGGTCTTTATGTCAGATGCCTACCTGACCACCTTGTAAATGACTGCAGTCTTGGCACTGCCAGTTATAATCATTAAGCAACGATGTAAGTCACTGAATGGATGGAGTGAAAGAGGTACCTGCCAAAGCAGGGCAGACATGTACAGAACTGGACTGGATAGACAAGGAGGGGATTGTGATGATTTCCTAACTGTTTGCCCGAGTGGTTTCAGGAAGGAACTTACTTGTTCGTCCAACAGCAGTTGAATTGTTATGCAGGAAGCCACTCTTGGTCTGTACAACAACCGTGTACTGCTCCCCTGCTTCTAGTTTGTTAAACGTGTGCTCATATACATGTTTGGAAACTGTCTGGACACCAATGGGATGGTTCTGATGAAGTATTGTGACAGTATAAGAATCAACATCTCCTCCTCCAGGGGTCCAATTCACTTTCAAGCTGTTCATCATTCTGGCAGGTGAAATATGAATATTTTTAACTGCACTTGGAACTAAAGAGACAAAAAGGCAACATGGGAAAGAAATTTACTTTATGTTTCCTTAATATAGCATATATTTTCAAAATTGCAGAAAACATGAAAGAAAGGTAATTGGACTAGACAATAAAGTTGTCTGTTTTATAATTTTGTAAAGAAACATTGAGAGGTTATAATAAAGGCAGGCGGGAACCCAAAGAGTTTGGAGAAAAATTGCAGATGCTTGAATGTGAATTTACAGAAAGTAAATTGATAAGCAAATGCCAAGAATAAATACACAAAACCTGGATTCTGAACAGGCTGGCAAATTAAACTTGTAGATGTGATGGAAATGGGATGGGAAGGATGCTGTGTTCAATGCTATGAACTTTAAATCCTGCTGCTCCAAATACAATTCTGTGATAAGAGTGTACTTTCATTTTTAGATTCTACTAGACAACTGTGTCCTGTTGGATCATTGTTTCTGAGATATTTCCTTACCAGATTCCTCAATGCTTTTTACGAAGGCAGAGCTTCTAAAGTACTAGAAAAGTTCTTTAAAATTCAGGGAGAGATTCAGTAATATATCTGTTTCAAAAGTAGCCCATGTTGAACTGTACAGCACTGTCAAATATCAGCAATTGACCACAGGAAATGTTTTATGGCATTTTGTACTTTATCATGAAATATTTTATGATACTGTTTATGTCATGTTTTATAAAATTTGCTAAATTTATATTCCACGGGAGTCATAGATTCTGAATTTTGGATGCATTCTGCAAATTAGTCCATTTGAAGTAATTAGTTGAAAAAGTTTTGCCCAATGAGATACAATGTTGCTTAGTTAAAGGTTACAGACATGAGAGTTTATTAATATATAGATAGAAAACGATAGTAAGAAAGATTCCAGGAAAACACCAGCCAAGCAAGACAAGTTTAGTCACAGTGAAAAGTTTAATAATGCTGCCAAAACGGTTAAATTATGTGACAGAACAGACTTAAACCTTTAAAGTTTGTTTGCCCCAATCACATTAACAAGAAAAGATACATATAAATTTAATATGAGAAAGGGGCATATGAGCGAAGGCTACTAATTCTTCCCTTCTCAGCTGCTTGCTTCCCAGCTCTCCACAATGCAGGTTTAATTCTAGAATGCGAACGAACATATACTAGATATTAACACCAGGGATAAAAATAAATGGCTCTAAATTAAGGGACTGATCATGTTGGACCAGGCTGAGGCCTTCTTAGCCTAGCATTGTTTTTTGAAACTGTTCAAGCAAATACCTCTAGATGTCTACACGAAGACGATACATACTTCTCTTCTAATGTAAATCCCCAAGTAGTGCTGTCCCTAATCCCTTTGTAAAAGCCATTCAAGTCTATGACCATACACAGCCCCTTCTTGCATGCTGTTTTTGTATGTTAAGTCATACTGTATCCCCTATGTTACATGTGGAGGAAGACACAGAATTAAAAATGCATTTCCCTTCTTGTGATCTGCTAGGTCATACTCCATACATTCACCATCCAACAGAGGCAAGTTCAGAAGTCTTTTGATATATCCCCCCCCCCCTAACCTGTCAATCCTTCTATGAAAGTAGAACGCTGTGCTTCACCACTTATTGTCATGACAACAATTTTGTAAAGGCGTCCTGGAGTGAGGGATGTAAACTTGAATGATTTGATAGTATTTTCAAGGTGATGAGATGGAAAAACTTTCATATCATTGAACAGAAGCTGGATCTCATACTGATCAACATCTCCATCAGCTTTGGACCAAGTAATATATAAATCTTCAGTGCTTCTGTCACTAAGAGTCAACTCTTTTACAGATTCTGGAACTGAAGAATGAGGGAAAGGACAATGTCAGGTGACACATACACATACAGACACAACTAGTCTTGAAGAGTAGTTTACTCATTTCAACCAGCTTTTAAATAAGACCACAAATATTATTAGCCATCAAGGTTATTATAGAAAATCCTATAATTAGCCTACTGGGTGATAATTAAGGATCTTTTTACTGAACTGAACTAAAAGCCTAAAAACGTTAAACTGAAAGAGAAAGGGGGGGGGGATTGCCATTTCTTTAGGTACTTGATTAATGTGATTGGTACAGAAAAGGGCCCATAGACCTTTCTTCACCAATCTATTCATTTACCTGCACACATTCTTGTTCTCTATGATAACTGGGCTAATATAAGTAGTCCTAGACTTTGTTTAGTGGTCATCCAAAGTTACAAGGGCATTGAAAAAAGTGAGACATCACCATTTTCACACTTATGACCATAGCAACATTCCCATGGTTACATTATCAAAATCCAGACGTTTGGCAACTGACTCATATTTATGATGGTTGCAGCATTACAAGGTCATGTGATCATCTTTTGCAACCTTCTGACAAGCTAAGTCAATGGGGAAGCCAGATTCACTTAACGGTTGTGTTACTGACTGCAGTGATTCACTTAACAACTGTGACAAGAAAGGTTGCAAAATCAGGCAAACCTCACTAAACAACTGTCTCACTTAGCAACTGAAATTGTGGGCTCAACTGTGATCATAAGTTGAGGACTACCTGTGCATACATTCAGAAACGATTGCAATCATATATATATATTTGAGTGAGCATGAATTTTAATTGCTTGCAT